CTACCATCCTTCTGACTTCTGAACCTCTTACAGATCCTTCCTGGATCCGAGGACTGACCCTTTGCCTGTATCTTTGTCCATCCATCAGCCCCAGAAACCTTGCATGGGGATGGACATACTCCCCTTGCACGTAATGCCTTACCCTCTGGGTTGCAACCTTGCTGACACAGCCCCAGTTTGTCACCTCAGCTCAACCAGTGTTACTCAGTGTTTACACAATCCCACTGGTTGCCTCAGAGCTGAGATTTCAGCTGCTGCCCCCAGGTCAGGTTGTGGGCACTCAGGGAGTCTCTCAATGACACCATAAGGTGAATGTCATCATCCGTATGTTAGAGATGAAGAAATTGAGCAGTGGCAAGACTTAAAATGCCACCCAGCATGTGAGGGGTTAAGTTTGGGCTTTTAAAAGTGTAGGGATGTCCCCACATGGGGATACTGCACTGTCCCCAAAGAACGGCCCAGGTGTCATTTGTATGAGAACACCTACAGTGCCTGCCAATGATAAGATTCTTGGGCCACACTCCAGACCTACAGAATCTGGATCTCAGGGATATGAAATGCATACCATCCCAGCTGCCAACTTCCCAGGGCCGACTTCTGCATTGGCCACAGTAGACACTAATGAAAGGGCCCATGAAATTGCTTTCTTTTTAATTTCTTTTAAATCCAGAAGAAACATAGAAATAGGTAAAATAAATATGTAACACATAACATTATGTATTATTCGTACTATATACAATGTAGTAGGTTATATGTCATAGGATATAATTATATAAAATATTATAAATATTAAAATTATTAAAGTTATAACTTCAGCCTGGATTATATTCATCTTTATACCAATGCAAGAGATTTTTTTTCAATTTTTTTTTACATTTTTTATTGATTCATAATCATTTTACACTGTTGTGTCAAATTCCAGTGTTCAGCACAATTTTTCAGTCATTCATGGACATGAACACACTCATTGTCACATTTTTTTCTCTGTGATTTATCATAACATTTTGTGTATATTTCCCTGTGCTATACAGTGTAATCTTGTTTATCTATTCTACAATTTTGAAATCCCAGTCTATCCCCCCCCGCGGTAACCACAAGTCTGTATTCTCTGTCCATGAGTCTATTTCTGTCCTGTATTTACTCTTTGTTTTTGTTTGTTTGTTTGTTTTTGTTTTTTAGATTCCACATATGAGCGATCTCATATGGTATTTTTCTTTCTCTTTCTGGCTTACTTCACTTAGAATGACATTCTCTAGGATCATCCATGTTGCTGCAAATGGCATTATGTTGTCGGATTTTATG